CTAACTATTACACATTAAACTGAAATTGTTTTATATAAAACCGTTTCTGATATACGCGGGCGAGCGGGAAAATGACCACCCACCGAAATGAGCCTACCGCCTGCAGGACGTAAAGTCCAAAACCGCCCTCGTATAGGCTGGTCATATCTTCTTCAGTGAGGAGTTTCACAAAGCCCATAACACCCGAGTGGAAGACTTCTGGCTGCTCACTCGAACAGCGAGATATAAATACCTCCAATGAGCGCGAGCCCGGTCCGGATTGCATCAGATGCCGTATCGAGTCGGAGTCACCTAAATACAGAGCATCGCATTGGAGTTACGACTAAGCTCTATTTTTACCAAGTATTTGCTTGAAGACACTTTCATCAGGAGAGCCAACCGTCACTAGAAGCTGTATAGTAACTGAATGCATTCCTCCAATACCCGCAAGGATTCTCCAGTTCGGCTCACCAGAAGAGGAAGGATGCTCACAGAGCTCACATAGTTGCTGCTGTTGCTGGGACTCATCGTCAGCAGTATCGGACCCCGATAGGCAGCCACAAAGCTTGGCGAGCAGTTTGGAGCAGTAGGAGGGAACTGAGATGTCGAAATGGCCCCTAGTTTCCTAGCGACAATCTATTGCAATGTGAATTTGTGCACTGAAGTTGTTATTTATAGTGTGTACTGTAAACAGTGTGAGGTTCAACGGTATAATACCGTCAACGGTTAGTGGTGAAAATCTGAATTTATACTCAATATCAACGATGAGGATTCAGTCCTCTATTGATGCATATTAAATCTATAGTTGGTTACCTACAGCCAGTGTTGGAATATGTGTTCGTTTTCATCTACATAGCTCAGGAGTTTCCTCGCTAACTATATGAGTTTATATGCGGATTAGAGTACAAAGGTACAGAAACCAACAAAATTCCACAAAATCTCCTCGGAATTTTCATATTGTCTACGACACATGTAGTTTACCATGTGCATATACTCCCATACTGGAGACTCCAGTTATTCCTTTTCTCACCAGATTTCTCGAGTTTGTGAGCCGGCAAAGTGAGTGCCGTGTCCCGACCGCTAGCCGCAGCATTCTGTTGTTGTTGCCTCTTCTTTTTCTTCTTATTGGAACTCGTAGATGGCTGAATATACCCAGCCAGAGTTAGAGCTAGAGAGCGTATCTAAGAACCACTACATTTTCGCAAATACGATAAGCCCGATAGGAGCGGTCGTCAGTTAATACGTGATAACGGGGAAATCTAAGACAGCTACTGTGTAAGAGAATATGCACATGGTTAACCACATATGTTGGTGAAAATCCTGAGGAAATTTTCAAAAATTCTGAATTTATTCCTATACATTTCTACTCGCATTTGTATGTAAACTCCGGAGCTGAAGAAAGTGAGTATAGGTTCCTTCAACACTGGGCACCTCCGAGGACATTCACAGCGAAGGATAATACACTCGATTCAATAACGAAAAGCCAGACGTTGTTAGATGCTCTCAAGAGCCAACCTACAATGTGAGTCGCACAAGCATCCCAAACCATGTCAGAGAAGTTCTCAACAATGTACGCTACCAAAGTCTTCAACATAGAACGCACCTGGAAATAAAAAATGCCTATACCACGGATCGAACCTGCGCGGGGAACAAGAACGCAAGACATTCACCTGCTCATTATCCAATTGAGTAACTAGACATGCGACCGCCTCCTGAACAACATGGCTGCCGTAATGATCGTAGTACCTGTCAATCCAACAGTGGGGAGCTAT